AAGCACTAGACTATCACATGGTCAACAGTGGTTCAACTCCCAGACCTACTGGCTGCTTACTTTCTCACTTTCTCTCTCTCTCTCTCTCTCTCTCTCTCTCTCTCTCTCTAGCTCACTCCGTCCCTCTCTGCTCAAATAAAAAAATAAAAATATAAATAAAATTAGGAGCTAGCAGGTGGCGTGGTGGTTAAGGGCGCTAGACCCCCACATGGCCCGGTTTGAGTCCCGGGCCTGGCGGCTTGCTTTCTCACTTTCTCTCTCTCTGTCCCTCTCTGGTCAAATTAAAATAAATAAATAAGTAAATAAATTCTTTAGAAAAAGAGTATCAAGGGTAAAGGAACTTCCAGTTCTCTAGTCAATATTAACTTTTATAAATTGATATTTTATTGGACTATCGCAAGGATACATTCCAATGATTTTAGAAGACATCGATGTCTTAGCAGCATTGATCAGGCAATCTCTTCCAAGTTCATCTGTGTTAATAATCAGGTTTTCACTGATATAACGTACTGCTTCCCTGTATAACGTGTGGGGGTGAAAAATACGTAAACTTACAACTTGAACATTTCGGATTTATCACATTTTGCACAGTGTCAAAGTATCATAGACAACCATGTTCTGTTCAGCCATTTCATATAGGAGGAGGACACCAAAAACCCTCCCTCTTCAGATCATGGCGATTTTAATCTATCCCGTAAGCATAGCCACTAAAATCTATTACAAGGAGAAAATGTGGTAGTCAAACGGGAAGGTAACATACTGACTAGTTCTTCAAACACAGAGAAAACATAGCTTTCTCAAATTAAACTTTAGTCCTTAAACATGAAGGGAATAGACAAAATATCTCTGAATGCAGAACCATCTTACTTGCAAGCGAGTCGATAGCCACTAATAACTGACGTAGGATGGATTTTCTGTTTGACCAGTTCATCTGCATTTTTTAGAAGTTCTGCTGCAATAATAACCTGTTGAGAAAAACATCCATTATTCTTGGATAAGTCTGATTTTCAACATGTGCAATGCCAAAGCAAACGCACCACTCAAAAGGTCAAGTATTACTAACTGAAACAGGGATGGTAGAGAAATGAACTAGTTATCAGAAACCCCCCAAAAGAGAACTGTACATTTTCTGTGCACAAATGGCTCAAACCAGACAGGAGACAGAAAAATATTCTAAGAAACTAGAATAAAAAGCAGCTGATGACATATCTACCCCCTTGAGATTAAGTGCTCAACAGACGCTAAATTGAGACCCTAAATATCAAACAATTTATATCTTTTAGAATTGTTTGGTTTACCTAAGAAATCATCCTGTAAGGAACTCTATGAAACGTGTCTCAATGAAGGAAAACAGAATACTTACCTAAGTCACAATACCATAAGCAAGTCACCCAGACAAACATTTTCACATTTTAGAGGTGGCAGAGGCTATTCTTCCATGGCTGAAGTTTAATCTAGAAATACATCAACCTAGAAACTGTTTCTTGGGCCAGCCCTTCAGCCTGGAGGTTAAGGGAGTCTGGATCCTACATGGTTAACCATGGTTTAAGTCCCTCCTCTGGCAGCTGCACAAACACGCTGGCTGTGCTGCACATGTGCCCCGAATTCTGACAGGTTAGAGAAATGAAGACCAGACTGTAGTGTGATCATATCCCTCTCCACCTCTCTCTGGCCAACACAAAGCCCACGGAAGCAAAAACAAAAAAATTGCTCTCTTAAAAAAACAAAACCTGTGAAATCTCTATGTCTCTCCCGCGAACACACATGCCCTTTAGCAAATTTCTCTGTCAAAAAACCAAAAATAAGGGAACCAGCAGTTAGTGTAATGGCTATGTTGCTGGACTCCCACGTAGTCGACTGCGGTTCGCGTCCTGGACATGGGGGCTTAAAACTCACGCCGGGCGCGTGTGCGTACGTGCCCAAGATCCCGAGAGGAGAATGGAGGAGAAGGGATTGCGGTGTGGCCATCCCCCCTGGGGGGTGATTTCTTACTTTCTGTCTCTCTGTTTCTCTCTGCCTTTCTGGTGAGCACACGCGCCCTATAGCAAAAACTTCTCCAAAAAAAAGAAAAAACCAAAAATAAAACCCAAACACTATTTCTTAGTAAAATCAACATCTCACCAAACAACAGTGTTTCTACTACACCAGAGTACTGAACCATCAATGGAGTTTATGCTATTAACTCTGACAGGTCACATGTTGTATCACGGGAAATTACCTTCTCACGCATTCCCATTTTGAATCCCTGAATTTGCCTGACAACATTTTAAATAGGAAAATACTTAGTTTTTAATACATCAAGTAATAGGGGCTAGTGGTTAAGGATGCTGGACTCCCACATGACCTTTCATGGTTCCAATCCCAGACTTGGTGGCTTTCTTTTTCACTTTCCTTCCCTCTCTCTCTCACTCTGTCCCTCTCTGGTCAAAATTGAAAATAAAATTATTATTTAAAAAAAAAAAATCAAGTAACAGGGCTGGATCCGTAGCCTTTTGGTTAGGGTAGCCAGATTCCACATGGCCAACCCTGGGGTTAGAGCCCCAGAGCCAGTGGCTTTGGCTTGAGAAATACTCTGGGCTTGTGTGCCCAAACTCCTGAAAGGAGGGAGAGATGAAGAAGGAACCGCTGTGTAACCAGCCCCCATAGTAAGTGCTTTTGCCTCTTGTTCTCTCTCTAGCAGCACAAGCGCCCTCTAGGGAGAAAAAAAGTAACATTTTCTCCTCCAAAAACTTGAAATCCCCAAGTCTTAGGTGATGAGAGGAGGAAGCAAAGCTTTACACTTCAACAGGACCGTATTATCTCAAGTTTCCTTTTCAAGTGGCACAAACTAGCTATAACATCAACTTTCAAATTTTGCTGCTTGAGAAAACTTAATGACTACTCACTACAGACGTGGTTCCATCTCCAACTTCTTTGTCTTGCAGGTCAGCCAGCTCACAAAGAACTTTTGCAGCAGGATGTTCTACCTCCAGTAGCTTCAGGATGGTAGCACCATCATTAGTAATGGTTACATCCTATGAAATGCGCACGAGGAAATGAGAACAGAAGTCACGAACACAGCCCTGCTGTTATGTATGCACCTTCAGTACACCTTCCACACCATGATTCCGATAAAAGAACTTTAGATACCTAAGATCTTTCATGCTTTAAGACAACCAAAGTTAGAAACCGTTAAGTATATACTTACACCAATATCATCCACCAACATTTTATCCAAGCCAACTGGACCAAGAGAACTTTTTACAATATTGGCAATAGAAGCTGCAGCCATAACTGTAATCAATCAATGGGAAAAAGAAAAGAAAATACTATGAGCACCAGATTTTACCAAATCTACAAATCTGCCCTAGTTATGCTCTCGAAGGAGGCTTAATGACTAATGTTTTACCAATTCACATTGTTAACTAGGATAAATACGCTTTTAGTGTTGTTTACAAGGACATCCAAACGGACATTTCGCAAATAGTTACACTCTAAGAAGCGGTCGAGGTGGAGCACTGGGCAGCTGAGGCTAGCAAAGGTGTGCAGTAGACAAGTCAGCTATATTCCATGGCCATTTACTCATCTGTAAAAATGAGCAATTGAACCTAATCTCTTCCGGCTAATGGTCCTGAAACGACGCCCGAGCTGAGACAGAATAAAAGGGATGTGAGGCGTGGCCCGCACGTGTCGGCGCAGAGGGCTCGCTTTTCAGGCCCGGGAGCGGCTTTCCAGTACCCGGCCTGGACATCCACACCCACCCAGTGCAGCTCTCACGATTTCTTCCCCTACAGAGAGGGGGCGCTGCCCTGCTGCCCCGCCCAGCGTGGAGAGAACGGCTGGCGGGCCGGGGCGCCGGGGGTGGTCACAGGGTGACCCCCGGAGGCCCTTTCTGCGTAAAAAGGGAAGGGGGCCTCCGGGTGTGCGCCCCAGGCCTCGCCCGCCCTTACCGTTCTGGGAGCGGATCGCCTCGCCAGTGCTGCGGTCCCCGAACACGGACAAAGGCCCTTCCATCTTCAAGGCAGGATACACGTCGAGTATCACTCACACCGCGGGAAACCAGAACCTCGACCGCTAGGCCGGGAGGCGGCCACTACAGCGGCGGCGACGGCGTGGAGCGAGCCCGAGCGACGCCGCGAAGGTTGCCGGGTAGGACCGCCCCGCCCGCGCCCCTTGCCCGCCCGCGAAGCATGGCGGGTAAAAAAAAGGGCGGAGGGAAGTGTGAACGCACCGGAAGTTAAACCGGACGGATTACTATTTTTGCCCAATTACAGAGTGAATGAGAAGGGCGCGAGAGTGGGAAACGGAAGTGACGGTCTGGGAGCGTTGACAGAAGCAGGTGCTCCGCGGAACTTTGGCTCCCAGCAAGGTTGCGCATGCGCATTTGGAAATTCTAGTGCTTTCTAGGGTGGTTGGCCGGGCGGAGTTTACAGTCTGGGTGTGGCTTAGGTGCCCAATTCCAAGGTAGCACGGGGCTCTGAGTCTTGGGGATGAATATTAAACTCTCTTCCTGTCTTCAAGTTCTTGCTTGGGGATCGTGAGGCGAATCGGTCGGGCTTTGACCCAAGGCTCGCGTATAAGCTCCGGGAACCGGTCCTGGGTGGGATGGGGCAAGGTTTCTCCGTGGGCCACAAGGGAAATTGACAGGTTGACTACGAAGACAACCATCCTTCATGAGCACCGTGCCGTGCACTTTGCTGTGCCCCAATACCTCCCAGTGTCCACCCGGCGTGTGGGTAGACCCGACATAGCTCAGACCCAGCGTGGCGAGTAGAAATGCCCGCACACAGTAACGTGAAGCATGGGCGCGGACCTGCGCATTAACTGCTGCCGGAAACTCACGCTGGCCCGCCTAACCCCCCCTCCCCAGGGCGCTGCTGTGAGGTGGTTGGTCGGCCGGAGTGCGTGCGCCCCTACGTATGCGATGATTGGTGGAGTGGGCGTAACAGATTGCCCGGCCGGCCACTTAGCGGCAAGAAGTTTGTTAGCTCCTGGGGGGCGTGTCTCGCGTGGAGGGTTCGCACACTTGGTCCTGTGACTTTTCCCTGAGTTAACATGGCTGCGGCCAGTGAGCCGCGGAGCCGCGCGTGAGGGGGAGGTGGCGAAGGTTTTCCGAGGCATTGTCCGAAATCCTTTCAGCGATGGCGCTTCGCTCGCGGTTTTGGGAGTTACTGGTTTGCAGGAACCCGGGTAAATAAACTTGCCCCTCTCCTCTCAGCTTACTCCACATGGCCCGCAGTGTAAATGGGAATATGTGAGTTCTGTGTTACAGTTAACTCCGTCGGAAGGAAACGAAGCGGGACGAGAAGTGAGCAGCTTAGGGTGCGCTGGTGACAGCAGTAGGCGAAGGCCCCTTTAGCTCGTTAGGGCTGCACCTGTGGCCAGACACAGTCGCCCTCCTTCCAGGACCTGAGATTGGGGGAGTGGTGGGGATCCAGGTTAGAACACCTTCCTGTTCTGTCCGTTTCAGCCATTTCTTAAGATCCGTGTGGTCGTTTCCATTTCTTAGAAAGGGGGTTTGCGGCGCTCTCGAGCACCTCTAAGCCGGCGGTGAAGCCTGAAGTGGATCCTCTGGAAAATGAAGCTGTTGCCTCGGAGTTCACCAACCGGAACCCCCGAAATCTGGAGCTTTTAGGCGTAGCCCGGAAAGAGCGGGGTTGGGCGACCGTGTGGCCCTCGCGTGAGTTCTGGCACAGGTAATTAGGTCTTCCTGCGGCTGACGACAGAGCGCGCCGCGGGGTCGACGGAGGGGCTGGACAAACAATAAATAGGTGTGGTGGACAAACATAAAGAAGTTAATGTCGGAGTAGGGGACTGGCTGCCTAAGACCTCCCTGAGGTGGTGGCATTTAAAAAGTTGACGATCTGGAAGACAGAAAGAGCACTCCTAGCAAAGGAGACAGCTAGGGTGTGAATGAGCTTGGCGTGCTTGAAGAACACACGGCGTGTACCTGGAGCCCCGTGGGCAAAGGGGTGCATGGGTGGGACGAAGGTGGAGGGCTGCAGAGGAGGTAGTTCATTAGCTTTGTATGTCCAGGTGAGCACTTTAGACTGTCTTCACTGCAGGAAACTGGGAGGAATCTGAACAATCTGGTTTTTAAAGATCAATCTGGCTTCTTTAGAGGAAATAATTTTCTTAAAAAATAAATTCTTAAGAGAGCAGGAATAAAAGGAAGACCAATTAGGAATGTATTACAGACATGATATGCTTTGTTATAAAGATGGCTGTTTATTGAACTTTCTATTTGCCAGGAACTATGCCAGTTGCTTTGTCTATGTTTTTTAATTTAATCCTTAAAACTGTTTTATGAGGCCAGCAGGTGGTCTGGCGGTTAAGGCAATTGGATACTACATTGCTGTCTGTGCAGTTGGAATGCTAGACGCAGTGGTTTGAAGAACATGCTAGACAAGTGTACGCGCTGCCTCTAAAATCCCTAGAGGAGAATGGGTTGCAGTTGGCTAGCTGGTGGTATTGCCAGGGAGCGTGGGGGGTGTGTGTGTATGATTTCTCATCCCCTGCACGACCAACCACCTCCCCACCCTGCACACATACGTACCTTGTAGCAAGCTTAAAAAATATATCTTTTATGAAGCAGACACAGTAATGTCACCCATTTTGTAGGAATAGGGAAATGAGGCCTAGGGAGACATAGCTAATATTTAAATACATTTTATTTGACCTCAGAGCCAGGATACTATATTATTGCCACTGTCCTGTTACACGTAGGAGATAGTAGCATGCTCACTTGCTTGGTGAGGATTTGTTAAGATGGAGTTTTTTTTTTTGGAGAGATTTTTGCTATAGGGCATGTGCACTTGCCAGAAAGAGACAGAGAGAGAGAAAGCGAGAAATCACCCCCCCCAGGGGGTATGGCCACGCTGCAATCCCTTCTCCTCCATTCTCTTCTTGGGATCTTGTGCACGCACGCACACGCGCACCGGGTCCAGGACTTAAACCGTGGTCAGCTGCATGGGAGTCCAGTGACATAGCCATTACGCCAACTGCTGGTCCCAAAATGGAATTTTTTAAAAGGAGTATATAAGGCTTATAAAAGCAGTTTAGGAGTCATATCTGTGTAATATAGTCACTTATTCAACAAACATATCATTTGTTGATATTGTGCCAGATATAGGAGAGAACAGTAAACTAAGGTCATCTCTGACACCAAAGTCTTAATAGTTTTGAAGTGAAAGATGGAATAGGAATAGTAATGTTACAGTTGCTGTGATACATTTTTGTTTAGGGAGTAGGCAGTTCAGGTGTGTGTGTGTGTGTGTATGTGTCTTTAAGAGTTTTTTTTCTGTAGGGCGAGTAACCTGACTCGAGAGACAGTGAGACAGGAAGACAGAAAGCAAGAAATCACCCCCTAGAGTGGAGGGTCACGCCACAATCTCTTCTCCATTCTTGTTTGGGATCTTGGGCATGCCTGCACATGTGTCCGGTGTGAGGTTTAAGCCACTGGGTTTCAAGTCACTGGGTCTGGGACTGAAACTGCAGTCGACTACATGGGAGTCCAGTGACATAACGATTACATCATCAACAGGTTCCCTGTTGTCTTTTTTTTTTTTTTTTTTAATTTGCTAGAGGGTACATGCACTTGCCAGAGAGAGAAAGAAGGAAAGCGAGAAAGCATCTCCCCACCCCTCCATGGGGCATTATGGCACTGTAGTCCCTTCTCCATTTCTCCTTACCTCTGGGATTTTGGACACACATGAATATGTACATGGCATGTTTCACAAGTCACTGGTTCTAGGACTTGAACCGTGCAGTTCAGCTGGCCACAGGATCCAGCTGCCTTGACCACCAGGCCACAAGCTGGCCAGGCAGTTCATTATTGGAAATAATCTAATCTTAAGTCTATAAGTTAGTCTTCTGACGCACTCACCCTATTATTTTCTCATTATATTTGGAGTATTTAAGTGACTAGAGATCTATCCCCCCCTTTTTTTTCTGTCTGCCCTACTTACAATGTAACCAAGAATTTTGGAAATTCTAGAGATAATTAGTCTTTCCCTTTCATTGGACAAATCGTTTGTGATGAGAGTCAGCTAATTATGATCCATGGAAAACAGTTGGGTTGTGAGCCAAAACATTTTGACATTTTTGAAAAGAATCGTTTATATTTATTTAATTCAATTTGTTACTATTTTTCTTCTTTTTAAAAAAAGAATTATTTATTTAATTTTTATTTTATTATTATTATTATTAATTTAACCAGAGAGAGAGAGAGCAAGAGGGAAAGTGAGAAAGCAAGCCGCCAGGTCTGAGTCTTGAACCACAGTCAGCCATGTAGGAGTTCAGTGCCTTTAACCACCATGCCACCTGCTGGTCCCCCATTTTTTACTATTTTTTAATTTGACCAGAGAGAGAGAGAGAGAGAGGAAAAGCGAGAAAGCAAGCTGCCAGGTCCAGCACTCGAACTGCGGTCAGCCATGTAGAAACCCAGCACTTTTAACCAGCATGCCACCTACTGGCCCTACATTTTATTTATTAATTTTTTTAAAGGTTAGAAAAAATATTTTGTGACATGTGAAAATGATATGAAACTCATATTTCATTGTTCACATAGACAGTTTTTTTGGAACCTAACCATCATCTTTATGACTATTGTAGCAGTAGAATGGCTGAGTTGAGCAGTATGACTTACAAAGTCTCAAATATTTACTGTGTAGCTGAGCTTTCACTCTGTCCCTCTCTGGCCAAATGAAAATACATAAGTAAATAAAGTGAAATAAAATAATTGTTTTAAAAAAGAAAGAAAAACAGAAAAAGCTTGTCAACTCTTGGTTTAAAAGGCTGATATTTTGGCTGCCAGCAGGTGGCGCAGTGGTTATGACTCCCATGTGGTTCATTGTAGTTCCAGTAATTCCAGTCCTGGACCTGGAGACTTGAATCTCATGCTGGGTGCGTGCCTGAGCATCCTTAAGAGCCCGAAATGAGAATGAAGGGATTGCGGCATGGCCGTTCCCCCTGTGGGGTGGTTTCTGAACTTTATCTTTCCCTG